TAATACGTTATAGGTGTAAAAAAATAACAAAGAGATTAGAAATATGTCAAATAATAAATTTTAAGAACTAAAAAATAAATTTTTTAAATAAAAAACTAAAAAAAAAAAGGTTTTTTTTTTATAAAAATAAAAAAGGTTTTAACCAATTGAAATTGATTATTTGTTCTCAATGTGTAGGACATATATATAAATTGGTATGCATGCATTTTACTTAATGTACAATACCATCGGCATGATGAATGAGAGAGTGTCAATTTCATAAACAGAGAAATACCAGCAAATGGGTTGTCGTGGCTCACCTCTGGAATCTTCACTGCGGTTTCCGTGAATGCTCACAGGAGCAGCAATTAGGCAAGCATATGCTGATATGCATGCACATTACCCTCAAAATTCAAAATGTTTGAGGTTGCAAAGTTGAATCCAATTTCATCAATCAATTCCCCAAAATATCATTTCACTGTTTTAGCCATATATATATTGAGACCCGTGAATCAATTTTTATTTTTATTTTATAGATTCTGAAATTTTTTTAGTGGAACACATGGGAACTATGTATAGAGAATATTATCTACAAATTAAAGTCTTAATTTTAAAAATATGATATTTCAATGGATATGTTTAAAAATTACCCATTAAATCAAATGATTTATTCAAGTAATCATCATTGTTACTTTTTAGATTAATTAAATATATTTAAATAGTTAATTTATTAATTATATAAAATTTAAATTAATTAAATATATCTAAATAAATATATTTAAATTAATTAAATATATCTAAATAAATAATTGTTCAGCACTTCGAGGCCTACTAACCTCTCTTTGCAGGACTTACTTAGGACTACGAAGACCTGAATTCTAATCAGGTTTCTTTTTTTTTTTTCTTGAAAAAATTTTCTATTGTTCAAAAAATATATATATATCTAAATAATTTATTAATTATACTAAATTTAAAATTAATAAAATATTAACATGTATGATTTATAATAATAAAATATTAAATTTAATAATTATGTTTTAATAACATGCACTAACTAGTAATATTTTTAAAGTTCCAGCCCTAAAATTTTTATAAAAATTCAATTCAGTCTAAATTTTCAAATTTGAAATTGGTAATTTAGAACTTGTAACCTTAGGTGATTGGGGAAGCTTATCTACACACATTTCAAAAAGAAAAACTCAGTAATTAGTACGGGCCTGGCATGTGGATTTGGCCCATGCACTCCAGTGAGCAAGTGCAAGTCAGTAAAATTTGGGTAATCGTGGAGGAATAATGAGTGTGGAAATGGAAAAAAACAGACGGGTTTCTGACGTTTGAGATAGACTTGCCTCTTTCTTTCTTTCTTTCTTTCTTTCATTTTTTTTTTTAATGTTATTTTTGAATGAGTTTACATGTGGAGAAAGGGAATTCAAATCCCAACCTATGAGTTGGAGGGATACATTTTACAATTTAATTTATAATAATTAAGCAATAAAACCCCGGTGTGTAACTACCTTTGGTTTGGGAGAGAAGACTCCCTTAATCTTATATAATGTTATAGTTCATCTGTATCCTGTTGTCATCTTTTGAGGGGGCAAGCTTGCAAGTGTTGTCCATTTCCGAATTTATTGGTGGCCATGGAATGGATTGTGTGACTGTGTCACGTACCCAAGGGACAGAGGAGCACTTGCAAAGGCCCCTGGGTCGTCTAAGCAAGGTGCATGCTAGCGTCCAGTACATGGTACATTAAACACAGGGCTCGGCAACCCTTGTCCTTGGTCACCAAATTGGGTGAAACCTTCCACGTGTCAAGTTATATTCACTGGCCTGCCAAGCTAAGTTGCCATGTGAACCTAGCTATATATTCAGGGTTTTTTTTTTTTTTTAAGTGTTGACTTAAAACATAAAAATTGCAAAAATTAGATTTATTGATAAATAAATATTATAATTAAGTTTAAAATTTAAATTTTAAAATCAACATTTAAAAAAATACATATGCGGGACTAATGTAGGGGATATACTCTTAAAATCCCTTAAAAAGTAATTAAGTTTGAGATATATGTAAAAATTGATTTAATTACATGTAACTGTAAATTTAAAAAAAAAAAAAAAAACCCTAAAAATCAATGGGAGAGTTTACCTGTAACCTTGGGTAAAGCTCATTATCTTGATGGGCAGGAGTTTCGCCAACTTGCACGGCAGAAAAGAAAAGTTCATTAGTGGTATGCGTTAAATGTTTTTTTTTTTTATTAACCACTTGATATTCAGTAATTATATTAAATCTTACTAATTCAAAATCGAAAAAGGTCGGACCTCATTAAGAGAAAAATTCAACACTTATTTCTCCATTCATAAAATTCAAATCCGAAACCTTATTTAAGGAAAATTAAGTTCTTTTTACTCGGACCAATAAACCGTTATTCATATGCGTTAAATGTTTTTTTTTTTTATTAACCACTGGATATTCAGTAATTATA